TACAATTGTCGTGTTCCAGAGTGCCACAAAGGCTGGTTTGGAATGCACTGCACTGCACCCTGTCCAAGAAGATGTCTTGATCGGCTTTGCAACAAGATTACAGGAAATTGCTTGTCGTGTGTTGAGCATTATGCAGGATTAAAGTGTCAGGGTGTGTATGTATCTTGTGATTTTGGTCTATTGTGTTACACAGTGGTTTCAATGTCAGGGTATGTATATATCTTGTGATGTAACTCTATTGTGTTACACAGTGGTTTCAATGTCAGTGATGTTTTGATAATTGTCCATGATTTACCCTATATCCATATTTTGAATTTTTTTGTTCATTCTTATTACAATTCAGTCGGTGATTAGCACGAGTCATGCTTGTGCTAACGAAAACCACGGGAGTCTATGTAACATTAGTTAGACTACAACTCTAAGATAGTTTGTAAACTGTTTAATATTTATATGTTACATCGCTATGCACAGTGACATTTGTTATCACCATCACAAAGCAGGCCCTTTGCAGAATGACAACCTCATCACTGTCTGCCATAAACAAACTCGATCTCTCGCCAGCTCTCTCGCCACGTACGTTTGTATATTCAAGTAATCACTTATATCCTCTGTCCATCTTTGAGTTGGTCGGGCAAACCCATCCTTCCCGATACCATGGGTTCTGCTATTATTTTTTTCCAATCCGCCATCGCTCTTGATATGAATGAAATTCGTTAGCTTCAGAAAAAAAGATGTTTATTAGCCAATCTGCCCTGCTGTTCAGATCTTTTCAGTACATCTTCTCTTCTTGGTTCATGGTTTTCTGCAAAACTGTCTATGGCAATTTAGCTCAAAAGTCAAAGTTCCTTTCTCAAGGACGGGGGAAGAGTCCACGTCTCACATCTGTATGTTGCTATAGGGGAGAGAGTCCACGACTCGCATCTGTATGTTGCTATAGGAGAGAGAGTCCACGACTCACATCTGTATGTTCCTATAGGGGAAAGAGTCCACGACTAACATGTGTATGTTGCTATAGGGGAGAGAGTCCACGACTAACATCTGTATGTTGCTATAGGGGAGAGAGTCTACGACTAACATCTGTATGTTGCTATAGGGGAGAGAGTCCACGACTCACATCTGTATATTGCTAAAGTGGAGAGAGTCCACGACTAACATCTGTATGTTGCTAAAGGGGAGAGAGTCCACGACTAACATCTGTATGTAGCTATAGGGGAGAGAATCCACGACTAACATCTGTGTGTAGCTATAGGGGAGAGAGTCCACGACTAACATCTGTATGTTGCTATAGGGGAGAGAATCCACGACTCACATCTGTATGTTGCTATAGGGGAGAGAGTCCACGACTAAGATCTGTATGTTGCTATAGGGGAGAGAATCCACGACTAACATCTGTATGTTGCTATAGGGGAGAGAGTCCACGACTCACATCTGTATGTTGCTATAGGGGAGAGAATCCACGACTAACATCTGTATGTTGCTATAGGGGAGAGAGTCCACGACTAACATCTGTATGTTGCTATAGGGGAGAGAGTCCACGACTAACATCTGTATGTTGCTATAGGGGAGAGAGTCCGCGACTCACATCTGTATGCTGCTATAGGGGAGCGAATCCACGACTAACATCTGTATGTTGCTATAGGGGAGAGAATCCACGACTAACATCTGTATGTTGCTATAGGGGAGAGAGTCCACGACTAACATCTGTATGTAGCTATAGGGGAGAGAGTCCACGACTAACATCTGTATGTTGCTATAGGGGAGAGAATCCACGACTAACATCTGTATGTTGCTATAGGGAAGAGAGTCCACGACTCACATCTGTATGTTGCTATAGTGGAGAGAGTCCACGACTAACATCTGTATGTTGCTATAGGGGAGAGAGTCCACGACTAACATCTGTATGTTGCTATAGGGGAGAGAGTCCACGACTAACATCTGTATGTAGCTATAGGAGAGAGAATCCACGACTAACATCTGTATGTTGCTATAGGGGAGAGAATCCACGACTAACATCTGTATGTTGCTATAGGGGAGAGAGTCCGCGACTCACATCTGTATGTTGCTATAGGGGAGAGAATCCACGACTAACATCTGTATGTAGCTATAGGGGAGAGAATCCACGACTAACATCTGTATGTTGCTATAGGGGAGAGAGTCCACGACTCACATCTGTATGTTGCTATAGGGGAGAGAGTCCGCGACTCACATCTGTATGTTGCTATAGGGGAGAGAATCCACGACTAACATCTGTATGTTGCTATAGGGGAGAGAGTCCGCGACTCACATCTGTATGTTGCTATAGGGGAGAGAATCCACGACTAACATCTGTATGTTGCTATAGGGGAGAGAGTCCGCGACTCACATCTGTATGTTGCTATAGGGGAGAGAATCCACGACTAACATCTGTATGTTGCTATAGGGGAGAGAGTCCGCGACTAACATCTGTATGTAGCTATAGGGGAGAGAATCCACGACTAACATCTGTATGTTGCTATAGGGGAGAGAGTCCGCGACTCACATCTGTATGTTGCTATAGGGGAGAGAATCCACGACTAACATCTGTATGTTGCTATAGGGGAGAGAGTCCGCGACTCACATCTGTTTGTTGCTATAGGGGAGAGAATCCACGACTAACATCTGTATGTTGCTATAGGGGAGAGAGTCCGCGACTAACATCTGTATGTAGCTATAGGGGAGAGAGTCCACGACTTACATCCTTATGTTGCTATGGGGAAAATGCAAGCTCTTAACGTTTCAACTTTGATTTCTTTGCTTAACCATAGATTCCTAATATTGTTTGAGCTTTGTATTGCTATGGCCGTCGTGGCTTTGACTTCTGTAGAACAATCTCCACTACTATCAATTATGGAACATCAATGTTTAAAGAGTGTGATATTTTAAATGTCTTCATCATTTAATGTCTGGTGTTACTAAAGAGACCATTAATTACATTTTAGTGCACGATTTAGGCAAGAAAAAAGTTGCTGTCTGGTTTGTTCGTTCGTTCGTTCGTTCGTTCGTACCACATTCGTTGTCTGAGGACCAAAAACATTATCGTGTTGAGTACCAAAGAGACATCATCAAAACACGAATTTCTGGCTTAGAAACAAATGTATGCTTTCAGCCTTCTACCCTATTTCCCAGATTTGTCTGCCTTTGATTATTTTATATTCCCCAAATTAAAGTTACGATTGAAATGACGTTTCTTTAACGATGCTGATGACATCCAAACGGCCGTAACATCGACTTTAAGAGCTATAACAACAAAATATCTACATAGGTCAATCCAGTGATTGTTAGATTGTACCACTTGCTGTATCAATGCACAAGGGGCTTACTTTGAATAAAATACTCCAACTGTTGATTATTTTAATTTGTATGGAATTAGTCTCATTACTTAAAGGTCGGACCTTGTATATTAGAGATCACCTGATACTTGCTGGGTCAACTGGTCAAGATCAGGTCGGTTACCTTTACTTCCCATGTCTTCTCCTGGAAGCGATTTCAGGCTGGGCCGAAGTGGAAGCGAAATGTTTGAAACATGTCCTGCTCCCTCAGGACTTAAACACACCAACGTAGGATCGGCAGGAGAGGTTCTAGCCGCTACACCACGTGGCTCCCAGCACTGTGGTGTCAGTTGTCTTAAGTGATGGTACAGATAGTAGTAATAGGGACAGTTGGTAACAATGGTCACACTAACTGAACAAGATGGTGGTAACAGCATCGTGACGTGTTTGTCATTCCCCGCTCACTGTTCAGTGGCATGAGATCGTTTTGTTTCGTGAACGTCCAGGGAGTTTGTGATGTCACAGTAATGTATTATACTTTCGCACGGCTTGTTAGTCCGGATTATTATACCAACATCAACATAAAAAGTGACGGAAAAGATCTCAGAGCGGAAGAAAGATTATCCAGCAAGTAGAAGAAATAATAAAGGACAGGACAGTTTAGATGAGGTACATACATACATTCATACATACACACACACACAGACACACACTAGTAGGCACAGAAAGACACAGACACACAAACACACACAGACACGCAAAAGCACGCACACATACATGCATACATATATACATGCATGCATTATTGATTGATTGATTGGTTGGCACCTTTCCGTATTTCCAGACGATAGTTATATATTGCACTAAGAAGAGGCATGAGACACACAGCCCATGGCGATGGCGAGTGTGACTAGCAAGACTCGCCCGTGTCAAGAAAAGTCATCCACAACGATAGCATAGGATTAGATGATCATTGTCAACATTTGTGTTTAATCCGTTTCTTCTCAGACACTCAGCTCTTACCCTTTCTGCAGTCATGATCTCCTTCACTCTCTTCCCTTCTTGATATGCCCTTTCCACACAACACGGTCCATGGAATTTTGTTCACATGAGTCCACCTCAATACCTGTATCGCTAATATTTCGCTTGCACACATTTTATACCATAGTATAGGTCTGCTTCAACATGTTCTTCCTGTCTTTAATTCACCATACATACACCATGCATACATACATACATACATACATACATACATACATACATACATACATACATACATACATACATACATACATACATACATACATATATACATACATGCATGCATGCATGCATGCATGCATGCATGCATGCATGCATGCATGCATGCATGCATGCATACATACATACATACATACATACATACATACATACATACATACATACATACATACATACATACATACATACATACATACATACATACATACATACATACATACATACATACATACATACATACATACATACATACATACATACATACATACATACATACATACATACATACATACATACATACATACATACATACATACATACATACATACATACATACATACATACATACATACATACATACATACATACATACATACATACATACATACATACATACATACATACATACATACATACATACATACATTCACTGGCACAACTGCCATGTTCCAGAATGCAAGGAAGGCTGGTTTGGAGTGAACTGCTCTCGCACCTGCCCACGAATTTGTCCTCCAGATGAGTGCGACAAGGTCACGGGCAAGTGTATGAAGTGTCTGGGACGACGGATAGGACCCAAGTGTCAGGGTAAAGTCTGTTCTCTTTCATGCATTACATTTAGAAGTCAATACTGTTGCCAGTCAAGTCTTGGCCCTTGGTTGCTTGTGCGAATATTATTCTATTAAAACTGACATTCAGTTTCATAGTCAAAACACACTGCACACATAATTAAGAAACTTTTGATGTGTTGGTTAACATAATAAAGTATTTCACATACGTTCTGTTGAAACATGTATGTGTGTGTCCGCGTGCGCGTGCGTATATATGTGTGTGTTTGTGTTTGTATGTTTGTGCGCGCGTGCGTGTGTTTGTGTGTATGTGTGTGTGTGGCGTGTAGTGTGTATGCGATCAGCTAGTCAAGAACGACAGACACAAGCTAGTGCTGATGATTATGTGACAATTTGTGTGGGAAACATTTGAATGCAGAATGTTAGCAAACACTGTATAACGCTAGCTAAAAACAAAACAAAACACACAAAAAAGAGTGAAACTGATCTATTAGTGTTAATTCAGAGGATACAAACACTATGCCAAAAACTGGCTGAAACTTAATACATGAAATTATTGATATTAAAATAGATAACACGAGCTAACAACAGGAATGTAGCAGACATGACAAAAGCCCACCTAACACTGATGGTCTGACAACCAAAGTCTTAATACAAATATTGATTGTCACTAGTTTTCCAGATGAAAGCTAATCGTGTATGTATTTCTTGTCTATTTTTGTAAACGACGCAAATGTTATGTTGAATAATATAAAGAAAAAAAAATTAACCATCAGTGCAGTCTGCAGGTCTATAATTAACACCTTGCACCTGTTTTGTTTGCTGATTATTTCCTTTGATATTTTTGCTGAATGCTTCTGATGTATTGAGTTTGTCAGAGTTTAAATTATATGTGCACCTACTGCATTTGTAGTATCGCCTAGTCACCTTGTCTAATCTAGCAGGTAATAATTGTGATGGTAATAAGGATGAAAATGATGATCAGCTATGAGCTATTTAGTCAATAGAAGATTGGGTTAATCTAATGTTTCTATTTCACCTTATACTGGGTATTTAGCACCCATGGTGTCAGCCGAACTGACGGTGGTGCGATATATTTCTTCAGTGCCTCCGGTTTCACCGACAGCCTCTATAACAACTTTCACGGGGGGATCAGACAAATGGAATCTACCAAGGGGAAAACAATGAATGTTGGGAGATTTTTCTTAGAAGTAGTCTGCAACACATATCACAGGTTGATTATCCCCAAAGAATCCTAAACTGCCTTGCCCCCTTTATTTCGACATCTATAAGTTCAATTCCTCTACTGTATTGTGAGTTGATCTCTGCACTCTTTCTCAACTCTTAGTCTGTCTAGTCAGCGTCGGTTTACCCTCAGCAGTTTCCTAGCATGGGTAACGTTGATAACTTTGCATTGTCACAAAACATTATTTTTCCTATGTACCAAATGTAACCTTTTTTTTTTTTTTTTTAGATTTCTATGACCTACTCCTGTGGAATAAAATGTACATAATTCTAAACACTATGATCAGTTTTCTAAAGGTCATCCACATGACGAGAATGTTAACCTATAATCTATTTTGTCTCTTCCTATAGTTCCTGTAAAAAGAAAATTCTACTATGAATAATTGATATGTTGACTACTGCCTGTGGAATTTTCCCCCATTTGTGACGTGACGCGTGGTTTAAATGTTTATGTTGTTGAGTAGGGATCTTCCTTTCAACACATTCTCTCCACTAGATACACCGAACTAAAATCTGAGCTATGTTGCTCTCAGACAAAGTCCTGGATATCCAAGAAAACAGCCATATTGGCTCGTTAAGTATATTAACATTAGCTGAACTTGGTACCCACAAGAGAAGGCAAGGAATTTTAGATGTCTATCATACTTAATGTTAATGAATTATTAGACAGGGCAAGTGATTCCTCCGTCATCTACCTTCTCCCGGTGTTATTATTAATAATTAAAGAATTATTATATTATTTGAGCCCCCACCAAATGGTAATCTATCTTAACAGTTTAATTAAACATGTAAGAACAGACATTTGGAATTTAACAAACTATGTAGTTTAAAACTTGACATACAGCTTTATTTACTACAATGAAATTCCCAGTTTGTTGATTTACCCAAACAGTGACTGGTTAACTTGATGATGGTGGTAAGCTTCAGCGAGAAAAACAGCTCGGGGGTTAGAGTGGTATGATAATGATGATAATAGGTTAACATAAAGGGGTTAACTCAACTTATAAGCCTCTGACAGCCGTGAGGAACTGTCAAGCTTGTCCAACTCTTCCTTGCCTGTTGTCTGCCTGTTTCAGCTTATTCTCCACTTCATCCCCACCTCGTTCTCCACCTCGTTCTCCACCTCGTTCTCCACCTCGTTCCCAGCTGGCCGAGTCTAACACAATGTAGTCTACTTCATGGACTGATCGTCACATGGGCGCTGTAATCATGGAAACAAAACACATACGTGTAGTATCTTGACTTACACTAAGAATACATGTATCAATTAATACAACATATAATAATAAGATATAGCCCATCACTCCTCCTCATATTCCACATCCTCTCCAGTCTAGTCTGAAGGTCTTTTGTCTTACATGGGCGTCACATATCCTGCCTTCCCTCAAATGCTATGTCATGATAGTTGACTTTCTAAGTCTGTTGTCCGTCATCACTCAGACTTCCAACAACTGGCTGACATAGATTTGACATACACATGTGGCGTAGGTTATGTGCTGAAACCGCAAACAATTTATATGGGCACGCTGTCCTGAATATTATCTTTCAGTGACAGTGAATTCTATACACCCATCATTCTTCCCCTGAGGTTATAAATCCCCTGTTCAGGTGAACACATTAAGTGAGCACATGGTGGGCACACAAAACGTAGCAACATCCCTGCACATATTTGGGCATCATTTCCCACAGTCCAAACTCATATTTTGGCTGATCGTGAAAACAATATAATTACATTTCATTATAGCAAACGTCATTGTTCACATCTTATTTTATACACATTAAAACATACAATGAAAAAAAATGTGACACAAACATACAAGAAATAGGAATAGTTTAGCAGTTCCCTAACTGAGATACTGAACATTCACAAAGAACTATTTCAAGCAGAATGTGCAGACAAATTAGGAAAAGGTAGTATAGACTAAAAGCTTAACTCCCTAACCTAAGTATACAAGATTAAAATTAATATTTTCTCTTACCTGGAAACTTTCCATTAATCGCCAAAACAGAATGCGACCGTAAAATTTACCTTTTAGGTCGATCTGTGTTGTTTGCCGGCAGGCTGCGATTAATGACGGAAATTCCACAGGCTCGAAGTATAAGTATCAATCTATTGTCCAAATTAAACTCCTCCCTTTCCTTAGTTTTTACCCAACCCTCAAGATGATGGCTTAAGCACCGCCCCTGAGGTAACTATCAGATCACTTGGCTAACCAGTGACCTGTCACTCAATTCTGGACTGACATCCCTAGAGCAAACATTCTTAAGTGACCCAATCTAGTTTACAACGAATCTAACTGGCAGGTGTTAAAAGACGTTCAGTGAAGCCATTGTGTTTCCTACGTGACCAAGATCAAGATAGCACATCCCTAATTGCCAAACACCTGTTCTCTCTAGTCTTACACTGACGTGTGAAACTCCGACCTCCCGGCTCCACAATGTCTAGCGTCTACTCAATTCCCCTGTTCAAAAGGGCCCCGCTCAGTCTCTACAGTCTGGTCAGGAGATAACATTCTGACACTGGCATGAGAATAGCATTCCTAGCTACAGTGTAAAGTTTTAGGTAATATTACCCAAAGTTGGGTCGCTTTGTCTGGACTAAGGACTGGAAACATTTAAATCAATATGGTTTAAAGTAACATTAGGGTAAAGGGCAGAGTAAATATAATCCTCTCTCTTTAGAACCAGAAGAACTTATTACAAGTACTACATTCTGGAATCACTGAGATCGTTTCGTGACACCATTATCCTTTCAAGTGTTTACGGTTCCGTTCCCTGTAAACGGTAACAAAAATACAACAATACCTGAAATAATTTAACAGTATGTGCATTAATATAAAACATAAATAAAATCTTGTATACATCAGTCTTACTCATTTTTTCCCACTGCTATTCATTCCACGAACACTGCCCGATGTTGAGACATCACCGCGGAAGAAAGTTTTCTTTTCTCGCGCATAGTCCGCCAGCCCTTGATAGTTTGGTTGATTTCACTGGTTGAGCTGTTACACTGTTTAAAACTTGTATGTTCATTGCAAAAATCACAATTTCAGGGTCCTTTTCTGTTTGTTCTTCAGACATCACAATATTAGTGTTTTTGATTCAATAGTAGCTTCCCGTCTTGAAGGATGGAAAAATCCTTACTGTTAATAGTATTCATAATTTATATAACTGTCCCGTTATTGACTGTAGCTCAGATATGTGCAGTAAAATCTTGATAACTTGTTTATCTTGTGCTGATTTATGTCTTCGGTTGGTTAATGTTTGGTAGCAGGCTCTTGTTGGTGATGTTCTATTATTGTATGGTCTAGTAGAGTTATATACTGATAATTTTCAAATCTGGATAGTGAGTTCGTGGATGGTAACGTTTCAGCTTCATGGATAATTCAATGGCTGCTGTAAAGATTTCAGTTTTGTCAAATTCCACGGTTACTTGGTTTTATTGCTTGAATTATATTAAACACCTGTTTAGATAAAAATGCATCCTTTTAATAACATAGATGTTGATTAAAGTGAATTCTTTCCCAAAACCTTATGTCTTCTTTGGAACAGTCACAGATGCCTTTTGTGTGTCAGTATAACATCTGTTGACATGTCAGTTTTATTTGTCTAGAAAGATATGATAATTTTAGATGCACACATGCTATCTGTATTTTTATTTTTCCAAGATGAGGGTTCCAATAACACACATACTCTCCAGTATAGTCTAGTGTTTCTAAAAGGTCTTTTAAATCTTAAGTTAAATCTGTCGTTTTATTGTGTTGCAATTCCCATAATTTAATGTTCACGAGACATTTGCTTTCACAATTTTTCAATATATTTCAGTTCTAATAACCTTATTTGGAATGCCTCCTTGTTCTAGTCTCAAAAGTTCCTCTTTCAAATTATATTTATTCAGCTGTATTTCTAGGTCATTTTTAAGTTTCACTCACTGAGTTTCTAATTTGTTGTTTGATGGATTCTGTTTCTGGAATGAATTTGCATTCACAGATTTCATTTCTGGAACAGCTGCATTTGTTTGTTGACTTGGTTTTTAACTTTCCAGACCTATCTTTGGAGTCGTAGTCTTCTTTGCTTTTTTGTACTTTCTTGTTCGTATGAGTTCTCATAGCAGGTTCAGTTTCGGTAACGATAATGTAATTATCTTGCATCTTTCTCCCTGGGAAACTTATTGTGCCTGTACAAATTGATATTATGTGTGGCAATGTTTCATGTCCGAGGTTTTTTCTCCAATCACATAAAGCAGTCTAAATTTGGAGGTTCGATCAGTTTTGAGACTATCCTTTATGATTGAATTTCTGTGTGTACGGATTTTTTCTTATCCTTTAACATCTGTTTGCCAATAGAAAACTTTACTAGTTGGTTTATGGCAGAAACAAATTAAAGTTTCTTTGACCTATTCTGTTGTGTCTTCTCCGAATTCTTGTTCACCACGTCTGTGATACACGTTTATTATTCTAGATTCCTCTCACAAATGTTTGTTGAGCTGTCTTCAAAATAACCAAATGAACAAGTGAGGTTGACTGTCTTTTTTTTTTTTTTGCCTACTAGATTTATTTTTCTCGTTGTTTTCTTTGCTTATCGTTACTGATGCTGCTTCATGGTTGATTTTGGGCAGATGTGTATGCACTGCATTTGCATAGTAGTAGAGATCTTCCCCAGCAAAACATAAATTGTGTCCAATGCTCACAAACTGTTTGATTGTTTTCGCGTGTTAAGTTGTTGTTTTTTCTGCTAGAGCTTTTGAATGTCATTGTGAGTGTGATGACCAGTTTACTGGCCCTGTTGATGACAACGATTTCAATTTACTTAGATGAACAAAATACCAAACCTGTACTGTTGGGATGTACAATGACAAGCTCAAAAGCTGCTGTGGTGAATCGTGAATGTTGTCACAATACAAAAACTTTCTGGTAGCTGCTGGGATGACAGATGTAGGTCGACCTGATTTGTTACAAACTTGATGTAATATGTCATCTGTAGTTCAGCTTGATTTGTTACTAACGTGATGTAAGATGTAATCTGTAGGTCGACTTAAGTTGTCAACCTCTGCAGACGCTGGCTGTCGCCTTTTGCTGGGTCTGGTGTTTCACCACTGACATTGACAATACGCTATGATCAGAATATTCGTAGATTGTTTCGTAATTTCAAAAATAACAAATTACAATATAATGTTCAACAACATAAATGTGACAAACATAACTTGTAGCATTCACTATTTTATAATATTTAATTCCTAGTTACGTTACTGATTATAATATAACTTTAGGTAGATAAATCGATGAATACTGAGCCTGTCTGACTGACTGTTGTAGATAGAGCTAACTGAAATATGTTCACAAGAAGTTAATGTTACAGCAATGCAATACTTATAGTAAATTTGTGAACTCAACTACAATCATTTTTATGACACTCCTTTGAGGGCGGATTGACCTTTTTCTACTCGATTACAACGATATACACAGCATCGGACAGTGCCAGCATCCACTGTTGAATCTCCATAAGCTTGCTTCGTACGTTCATGTATGCGATTTGAGGTATTTTCTTAAGGACCGAGGAACTTTGTGAAATTACACTGTTTCAACCGAAAATCTTAGGAAGCGATTACAAACTGCACAGGGATATGATATTTATATAGATACAAGAGAGTAGGAAGTATTACTTTTTTGACCGTCCCATGTAGCATGTCACCGTGCAATCTTACGATTTCTACGCTCTTGTCACTGTCACCTCATGTTAATTACATGTCTACATATATGGACGTCTGTGGCTTAGGCTTTGCGGACGCGCTTCGAAATGCAGGGTTTGATCCTAGCTGCGGGCTTTGCGCCTTGCGTTGGTTTCAACAGTGGTAATTGAGAAGCCAAAGGTGCAGAAGGCTATGGCAAACTACTGGACGTAAATTTGCCTAGAAAACCCACAACAGCCAACAAATTCTGGGTTTGGTTCTGCAACGTCCTGTAAAGGATACTCAACTAACTTTTTAACTACCTACTGGGATTTATACCCGCAATAAAACTACGACATTTAATTACAAATCAAAGCGTGCCACAGTTATTGGCTTCACATCGACATCTGCCAGTCAGGTAGAATTAATCTCTAAACATCGGCCTTTATTTCAGTTTGCTATTGGCTTTTTCGCTCCCTGTAATCCCTGTTTTGCCTTTCACGTCGCTCTTTGATCCATTTACGAAAACGTAATCAGGTAACTTTCAATGACAATACAAAAATGGCGAGTATTTGTTATCTGCTGACCAGACGGCATTATTGTTTTGCCAAATCATGGATGATATCTTCCTTCATAAATGACGTTTTTGTCATGTCAATAATATAATCACTCATTATTTCATTGCCAACCGGTGTTCGTGAGTGACAACGCTCTTTGTCGTGTACTGTCCTGCTGGCGATTCGATATTTTTTTCGGCACTAATTTGTTTCCTAATATTGTCATTTACGATCGCTTTTTTTTTTTTTTTTCAGACATTTTTATTATTTTAACATTCACGGTAACCACCATAAACAAAGTATTTATTTCAGGAAAAGAAATGATGCCCGGGTGTGTTTTACAAATCCATTGAGTGACTGTTACCATGGTCTCATCCCCAGATTGTCCACATAGTTATTACGGCGCCCTGTGTGAGATCCGCTGTACCGCGTACTGCAGGAACAGATCATGTAACAAGGTGGACGGGATCTGCTTTAGTTGTGTACAGGGCTTCCGAGGGGAGTTTTGTAACATAGGTAACGTTTACTGTCATTGTAAATGTCAACAGACACTGTATGTTTAAACAGAGCAGGATGGAGGGTTGATGTTGAGAAATGAGCCACTGATAAGATGTTAACACATTGCGTGTGGATTAATTGAATGACCAGGAAACACACACAACTCTCCTACCACTGAATGATCTTTCAGGACATAGCATAAATATAATTATTACCTTAATTCTGATAAAAACGCTGCTTTTCGTCAGATATCATCATATGTGTATCTAATGCTCGTCAACTTGTGTGGGTGATATTACATCTCTTGTTGTTATTGATGGTACATTCCATTGATTGTATCATTTGTGACGATGAACCGATTGCGTGAACGGGGAGTTCATATTATCTGGGATAAGGTGACTGACTGATCAGCTTTTACTTTCAGCAGACACTGTCATTTACACATACAGGCCAATGAAGCACACGTCAAGGTCAGGATGGGCATTCATAGCACAAAGGACGGGGACAAAAGTAAAAAAGGATAGTAGCACGCATCAGGCCAAGCGTGATAACTGAGATATCATGCAGCTTCCAGAGCTCTTGCATATGTAACAGAACAAGCTGCCTAACTAGTGTTACTCGTTTCACACTCAATGTAAATACTTCAGCCAATTGGAAATGGTACTATACGCTTGAATGGTTATAAATCATTTAGAAGTGGCAGTTAACCTCTCTTCATCTAGATTTACGCACCCTTGCATGTATGAGTAAAATGTAAAAAGTATTACATTAATGCAAATTGGAAGAGGCATAATAACCAACGCTGTACGGAACATTCTTTCTTTGTGTGTGTGTGTGTGTGTGTGTGTGTGTGTGTGTGCGCGCGCGCTACACCCACATTCTCTTAAACGAGCCAGGACTAACAAACACCAGAAAGAGGTAGTCATCATTTGTTGATGATATAATGACAGGAGGTAAACTGCAACATTTTGAGATTGCTTGAACGATCTGCACAAAAGACAGAGAAAGGCAACGCC